CCACTAACGTCTGCGCAGGAGGCTAGATTAGGGCAAGACAAACTAAATACTGGTTTATAAGGAATGACCCTTACTACAGTAGACCATCATGGAAAGATGGTTTAATTTTCTGTAGCTAGCTTATTAAATCTCTAAAAATACTTACATTAGGTTCACCTGACAAATCTTTGTTAGTCTAAGGGGATAAAAGCAAGGTCTTACCTAGGATTTCAATCAGCAACTGTTGGGGGTATTTAAAACCATTTTACAGTAACACCATATCCATCCAAACATTAAAACATCACGGATAAGTTTTTCCAATTTCAACAACTACAGTAGATTTTACAAACTTTTTTACGACATAAATATGGGAAGAAATTATGTCTGTTATAAGCAGTAACACCTCATTTTTTTAACCTACCCGGCCTTATACAAATAATGAAGCCGTGTTCATTTTATCTAGCCGTGTTTTCCCATTTTTGCCCGTGGTAACACGGCCAACATGGCCCTCTAGCTAAGAACCTGGATAAAATCAAATTACATCTTAATCAATCTTTGCATGCTTAAGAACGTTACACAATCACATCAATCTGGGAAAAGGGAGTACAGTATAAGAGCATGAAGATTTTAATAATTTGATAGTCATCAATGATGTAGCAGTCTCTTGGTTTACTGTCCCTAATTGCATGTTACGAGGATCTGTTAAGGCCCATTTACACGGTACGATTAGTTGTATACAATTCCTACTCTGGCGTAATGTGATCGAATAAACACGCGTACAAACGTCACATTTCAAATTTCGCCATCAGCGAATGAGCAATATAAACGTGGCATTAGCACTCGTTTTCATTCGTCAGAATAACAATCGTATCACAGATAGATACAGGACCAGAAGTGTCACTCAGACGATATTTTGTCCGAAATTTTACGAGTGCTGACCACTGATCTAATAAGTGGTGCTGACGTGAAAATACGCCATCATATGATGCCATCCTGGAGTGCACACGGAAGTTTTTCATAGGAAAACATAGGTACAAAGTGCCGGGTGCACTCCAGGATGGCGTCATAGCACGCAATAAAATTTCGGACGTTTTCCTTCAGCCAAAACACATAGAAGTGACACTTATGGTCCGGTATCTATTCTGTGATCGTATACAGCTAATCGTATCGTGTAAATGGGCCTTTATGCCAGCTTCATTCTTACGCACGACCTTTTGTTCTGCCCTTATAACTGTTATCCAAAAAGCAAATGTTCGTAACGTATATGAACTTTACAACTGATAATCGTGCTTGTCAATACACAGGCATTTCTTTGGAGAGAAAATTTACCCCAAATTTTCGACTATCAATTAACTAATTGCTCCCAGTGTTATTACCAATATTAAGACTGGATTTGAAATGTGGGTCATGTACAGCGCATGTAAATAATGGACAGTGTGCTACCGAAGTCAATATGAGTTGCTCACATACTGTAATTCTGTAAATATTATGTGAGTCCAGTGCTTGCCCCACTTGCAGTATTTTCAGAAAGAAATACTGTAAACCCAACCTTGTTCGCACATCTGTCAGCTCACATGCTCACGCTTTTGACAACTTTAAATAAGATGCATAGTCTTTTTTTTTCTGTGTTGGTGTTGTGTACTCAGGTGAATAATATGTTTGTGATGTTACTCTGAGTGTATATCCACACCGGGCGAGCTTGAAAAATATGCCCAGCCACGGTGGGAATCGAACCAAAGGTCGTAGGTTCGATTCCCACCCTGGCCGGGCATATTTTTCAAACTCGCCCGGTGTGGATATACACTCAGAGTAACATCACAAACATAAGTCTATACATAATATTGCATTGCCTATACATAATATTGCATGCATAACATGCATTAAATACATACAGTAAAGGTACAGTTACCTGTTTGTTTACTTCATCCTTGCCATTTGTTTTCTCTGCATTTGGCTCCTGCACTTTTCTTTTGAGATCTTTCCTTTCAGTAACACCCTTAAATAAAGTTAAGTTAATCAATTTAGTTGGAACACGTTCCCCTTGCTTAAAGTAAAATCTGGCAGCGGTGCTTAGGCAATTTAGTGCTAGACAGAGTAAAATCAATCTCGTACTCAGAGCAATACCTGTGCGCGGGCGACGAAAGCATTGGCTCAGGGGAAATCGACAACCTGAACCCCTAAATTTAGGAGTTCCGGTTGTTGACGGCATGCAATTTATTGATAAACGTTAAAACAATTAAAGCACCGGAAAAATTCCATTTCCCCATAGCCAATGCCTCCCTCGCCCACTCATTGCTCTTGGTACAAGAATGGAGTGAAATTGGAAAGAAGGGGAAAAGAAGAAGAGAAAATTATTAGAAAGGATTAGAAATAGTAATTTGTAGTGTTGTTGTTCAAGAAGAATAAATTGGTATTATTGGTTTATTGTCGTTGCAAAGTTTATAAGACTAAGATCAAGAAGAAGGATATTACAAATACGAGAAAGCCTCCTTGGCCAGCGCCTGTCGCTGTGTCTGGTCAAGGAGGGCAACGAGCGTAAAGACGAAGATGCAAACGTACATTTTTGTTCGTTCTCGCCGGCGAACGTAACAGTGTTTATAAAAGATTCGTAAACGAAAGAAAAATACTCTATCTGTGGAAGACATAAATTTGTTAGTATCCCCAAGGGTTGATGCTTGCTATGTTACTCTGAGTGAATATTATCCGCACCTGGCAAGCTTGAAAAATATGCCTGGCCATGGTGGGAATCGAACCTACGAACTTTGGTCCTGGCCAGGCATATTTTCAAGCTTGCCCGGTGTGGATATACACTCAGAGTAACAACACAAGCATCATAATCACCTGAATCAGAGACAGAGTACACTACGCCAATATAGAAAATTATCATGGTATTCGGTTTTACATCAGTTAGCATTAGCTACAGATTGAAGTTTCAGGTATTCAACATATCAATCGATTGATAGACTCCTAGACTAATTTAAAGTGCATGGTAATGCCATTTAAGGTTTTGATAAATTAAATATTTAAAAAATCAAACTAAATTTTCTTACCTGACCTGAAAATAGTAAAATAACTTTGTTGAAGCCAGGTCAGTGATAGAAAGAATGTGTCACAATTACTGGTTGGCATCCTATTCTTTACACAGCAAATTTCTGGAATTTTCTTTTTCTTGTATACCCCAGGCAGTGTCTGCTTCAATTCCCTATGAATGTATTGAAATTTAACTTAATTTAACATAATTTGACAAGTCAGAAAAGTGGTGTAGTCAATTTATAGCGAAAAGTCATTGCACAAGGCAAATGGTTAGTTTATCTCATTTGTCAAAAATATTGATGGATTGACATACTAATTTTTCATTGACATACTAATTTTTCAGAATTATTTAAAATGTTGATAATACCACAAGATATGCAGTGGCAGTTGTTTCAAGTTAATCAAGTATAATGTTTGAACTATAACAACTAGTATAGATGGTCTATGTGTCATGATCATAATTTAATACTACAGCCATCAGTGAACCATCATTATTAATTATTATGATTTTTATTGGCATTTATTTATATTTTTATTGGCATTTATCTGTATCAAATAGAATATAACATCTTTTTCCATGCTAGTGCCTCATTTATTTTTATAACTTGCTATGGACCGTTGGGGTTTCCAAATTTTATTAATGGTCTTAAAGTTAATTCAGATCATATCATATATAATAATTGTCGAATAAGCAAACTAAACAACAAGGCTTAATAAGCAATGAAAATTTGATAAATAGAGGTCAGTTTCTGATTAATTTAACAAGGGGAAGAGGGCTTATCTGGTTTGGTAAGCCTTGAGTCAGAATATTAAGGGGGCCAAACCCCAACAAGGAGCCTCTGGTCCCCTCCCCCACCTGCCAACTGGCTTTGCCTTTTGCTTTGACAGCTTTATAAATACCCTAGCTTAATAGATAGATCCAATATTTCAATTTAAATCACATTCAATTCTTAAACTAACTTGTGGTTCAAATCAAGAATCGTAAAGCTTGATACTAGTAAGAAAATAGTAAATTAAACAACAAAATAAGTCAAAATAGTGAGCAAATAGGCCTACAAGCAAGGCATACAAAGTAAAAACAATAAAAAGGAAACTCTGGCCTTGTTTCTTGTAGTTATGCTAGCTTGGCAACTTGAGCAATAAGCGAAATATATATGCCATCCTGAATATTATAGTTAAAGTTAATTTAAAATATATCTAGACATACGAGGACAACGTTAAATAATTGCAAATCAGAACTGTCAAATGAATATCTGTGGTCAAAATTCGGGAAAACATAAAAGTCAAAAGCTCGGTAAAAGCTCAAGAGGGATCTGAAAAACATTCTAAAATAAAATATAACCGACTAGATATGAAGTAAAATCTACTAACCTTGTTTTGAGTGTCCAAATTCAACTTTCATTGTTGATCCAGCTGTAAAATAAAGTCTTTTTGGTGGAGAAATAAAAAGCCATTTTGTTGTTTCGTCGGATATTTTGCTCAAATCAAACGTCGTATTTCCTTTCATTTTAAGCTTTAATCGTTGTATATCTTTCAGAAAAGGCAGCATATACTCCACATTTTCCCTTAAGGTGCTCTATTTTGTCCCATTTGCACTAAAATAATATGTTTTGGTGCTTTTTTCTGAGTGACAAAAGCTTGCAGTTTGTTGTCAAAAAAATATTTTTTCTGACTTCGCGGCTTCGAAGATAAATATGGCTACGTGATTGGTCAATTTTCCCGCCAAAGAACATCTAGCCTGCAGTTGCGGGCGGAAGACGATTAGGGTGATGAGAGGTTTGGGTCATCAGTAATATGGTAGTGACTGATAGTACTATATTCACTTGTTTGTAGCTTTGTGCAACTATCTTCCCATTTTCTTTCTTGCTTCGATAACTATATAGCAATTGCCATATTATTATAAAGCAAAAAAAAATCTACGGCTTTTTGCCGTCTTGAACGTCCACGCGTTCTTTGCCCTAATTTAGCTTAATATTCCTAGTATCAAGCAAGTATGCTTGCAAACAATTAAGTTTTGACTATTTCAGCAAAACTGCCCAGTCGGTTGAAATCAACTCTTAATCATTGAATAAATATTTTTAAGATTGTTTGTTTCACTGTTTCAGCATCTTGATATATATATATATGAAGTCAAGTTCCACCTGTGACACGCTGGGGTATCAGATTTAGTTTCATACTGCGTTTACAAAGTATCTGATAGTGGAAAAAGATAAAAAAAAACTAGCATATTGAATTAAAGACAAGTGGACATCAATTTTAACGACAAGCTTTTGAAAACACAATGTATATGCGATAAATTTGCGCTATATGCGAATTTGGGGCAAATTTAGTATCAAATTTGCTATGTATACTTCAATATGCCAAGGTGCATGTACTGCATGGCAATTTATTGCCAATTTGGTGTCAAATATCACTAAACTACATTGTAATTATCCCATCATACTGATTCATTTTGTATGGTATTATAGACAGCATAAGTCTTCAAGCCATTATCGAGTATTGATAATTATCTAGACTTCACGTCTGTTCTTTGTATTGTTATAGAACTTTTTAGGATAATTCATATATTTCGGCTGCCAGGAATCAGTTGCTTGATTTTGAAAACCATGTAAAATTAGCTAGATCATTCGGATAAAAATATAGAAGAAAAAACAATTTTCTCAAATACATCTGTAGCACGGACATGGATGCTTTAACCTGAATGTATATATTGTACTCTATATGTATACTGTCCCATCCAAACAGTCATGCACGCGCATTTCATGTATTATTTATGTACCAGTTGCACAGTTGTTTACTCACGCAATAAATCCTTGCTTCGGCGCTATAGGACCTACATATGTTGCTGTTACGGGAAAATATAGAAAAATTAGGGCAAGTAAAAAGCTATGTCTATTAATTAATGCATTAACTGACTTCTAGTATTTCCAATACATTTGCCCATTGTGCAAAGTTGATGTAAATATGCCATTAAATTTGCTACTACTAATTCAGTGTGCGAGTCCATATGCCAATTTATTGCAAATATGTTCCAAAAAATACGGCTTAACTTCCTTGCATCCGGCTGCAATGGTGTCAATGGTTATGACTTTGTACAAATGGGTATTAATCCATAACACGAGATTCACACTACCGTACAACAGTATCAAATCAATCCCAACATGAACGATTGAACAGTTTTCTGTGCTTCCAAAAACAAAATATAACGGGAGTGTTTTACCAAAACAATTACGGCAACAAACCAACTCGTCTCTACTCTCGAGAAGTCTTACATTTTATAGTTTTTCAGTATAGAAATGATTAGCTACTTCATATAGATGCGTATTTATCAGGAGCTCTCTCGTATATATCGCAGATCGTAAAGTAGTCTTCAAAGTATTTCGATTAAAATTCTAAGCCGACTAATTTTGAAATCTTAGACTTAGTCTTAGTTCAAAATATATGTTGACTTGGAAATAATAAAATCGGCGTTTAAACAAAGCCAGTTTGAAGAATTTGCCACAAATTGGCAGCTATTTGCAAATGTGTTGCAAATATAGTAAATAAGTTTGCAAGCCTGCAAAGATGTAGGCAAATGTGAAGTGAATTTATCGAGTTGCAAAGATGAATTCGCAATGGTTGCGAATTCAAACTACTAAATTTGCATCAAATTTGCAACTATTGCAAATTTGGTGCGAACCTATTTTTTCGTCCCGTGAAATTCCCATGGTTTTTCCATGGTTTTTATCATTGGGCCCCCACTTTTCATTTACATGGTATTGCCATACTTTATGAAGACTGCTACTCATAAATTCCCATGGTTTTTCCATGTTTTTTTATCATCGGGCCCCCACTTTTCATTTACATGGTATTGACATACTTTATGAAGACTGCTACTCATAAATTTCCATGGTTTTTCCATGTTTTTTATCATCGGGCCCCCACTTTTCATTTACATGGTATTGACATACTTTATGAAGACTGCTACTCATAAATTTCCATGGTTTTTCCATGGTTTTTATCATCGGGCCCCCACTTTTCATTTACATGGTATTGACAGACTTTATGAAGACTGATACTCATAAATTTCCATGGTTTTTCCATGGTTTTTATCATCGGGCCCCCACTTTTCATTTACATGGTATTGACATACTTTATGAAGCAGTACTGCTACTCATAAATTTCCATGGTCTTCCCATGTTTTTATCATCGGGCCCCCACTTTTCATTTACATGGTATTGACATACTTTATAAAGACTGATACTCATAAATTTCCATGGTTTTTCCATGGTTTTTATCATCGGGCCCTCACTTTTCATTTACATGGTATTGACATACTTTATGAAGACTGCTACTCATAAATTTCCATGGTTTTTCCATGTTTTTATCATGGGGCCCCCACTTTTCATTTACATGGTATTGACATACTTTATGAAGAATGCTGCTCATAAATTTCCATGGTTTTTATCATCGGGCCCCCACTTTTCGTTTACATGGTATTGACATACATTATGAAGACTGCTACTCAATAAATTTCCATGGTTTTTCCATGGTTTTTATTATCGGGCCCCGTTTGAAATTTACATGGTTTTCCCACTATCCAGCTTCAAAAATGTCAAGTAATTTCCAAACTTTTCACAGTATTTTTACATAATAACTTTTTACCGACATTTTACATCGTATTGCTTCTTTCTGTTTCCGTGCCTATAAATTTACATGATCATTGCAAAGATGTAAATTTAAAGACAAGGGTATTTACAGTAATTATAGATTTACATGATATGTAAATTTATTGTAAATTAATTTCCATAGTATGTAAATAAATATTCACATAATATTTACATGAGAATAATTTTCCAGTGAAGACACCTGTTCAGGAGTTGGGAAAAGTGCAATTTGAATACGAAAACACCTTGCACAAAGTCAAAGGTCAGCTCCACAAATTCATTACTCTTCAAGAAATTACTTCCTTGAAAATTCCTTCATTCTAAACAAAGACGAAGGACTTTGTGAAAGTCTACAGGTCATGCTATGCAAGTTTTTAATGATTTGCATTATTCAAATAGATGCAGGTTTATTGGCATAGCATGACCTGATGACCAGTTGTCATGGCTAGCTTGCCACTGAATACTGTAGTACTGTACAATATCATGTATAACAAACAATAATAATACTTGAATGAATCATTGTATATTGTAGAATTTAATAACAATTTCATACATAAAAATACTACCAGTAAGGGCATGTTCATATGGGCAAAAGTTATCCCGGTTAGTGAGAAAACTTTTTGACAAGTTTACAAGTGAGATCTCTCGCTTTGGTATGAACATAATATGAAAAGTTACACTGCTTTCACATGAGACAACAACTTTTCCCATGTACGTACCGAGATCTCGCTTGTTGACAGGCGAGATCTCGGTGACTGGGATAATGGTTTTCGCATGAACACAACTTTCCCGCTTAACAGGATAACTTTTTGTTGTGTCAGTAACTATTCAATTCATGTTCAGTGCGACATCACAACCAGAAACTTTACCCAGTAAGTGGGATAACGTTTCTCCATGTGAACAGAACAAAAGTATTTGGCTAGTCGAAAACTTCTCGTTTACCGGGATAACTTTTGCCCTTATGAATAGGCCCTAAGTCAGTTTTTGTCCCAATTATTGTTTTAATGGCACCTTCATGGCTACCCTTACTGCAGAACAACTTGAATTCACAATCTGTCGATGGGAAGACAAAATCTATTTTGTTGACATGTTTGTTTAATACGTCAACTTCAGATGACACCATCCATTTGAAATGACTATAAGAATGATCAGAACTGCAAAACTGTATAAGAAAGAAATTGTGAGCATTATTGTATACAATTGTGTGTTCCAATCCGGGCATTATACTGCTCAATTGACCTTATGCATAATGACATCACAAGGTTTGATGCCCACGAGGAATGCTGGTCTTAGTCATCACCCAGGAAAATAAAACAATTCAAAATGGCCACCATTGAAATTTTCCCAGATGATGACTACTAAGACCAGCATTCCTCGGTAAAAGCCCCTTGGCATTAATAAAATACAGAGTTATTTTACAATCCATGTTTCCACTATGGCCCCCTGCTTAAAAGAACCAGTAGGTTAAGAACCACTAGCCCGCAAGCACCCAAAAGGCCACAATTACTGTAATATATAACTATTTTTATTGGCAATTTTCTAATTGACATACAACGTATATATATTTGTAAAATTTGATATACAATACCTTGTTGGCTTGATCTTTTGATATGTATGCGAGATTTCGAGATCAACACTTCGCTAGTATAAAGTAGCAAGTTTGGTACAGGTACAGCGAGTTCACAATTCACTGCTTTTTTGAAAAACATAATACGAACGGCCGCTTTTGATTTGACTTGACCAAAAGATCTCCACGAACACAGACCAAGATAAAGTCGATATTTTTTTGAAAAATTGTTGTCAGGAACTTATGTTGGAATTCGAATCATACGTCACAAAACGTCATCAATCCATTGTTCTAAATATGAATCCTCCACATAACTCGCGGAAAGATTGGGACCGACAAAATTAGTATGCTGCAACAAATGTTGATCCAGTGTCAAAAATATGGTTTGTTGTTTTGATCATGTTAAAGTGTTTATGAAATGAAATTTCTTATTTTCTTAATTGAAACAATTCTTTAAAGCGCTCATGTCACAATTTTTTTTTTGATTTTTGAGTAACGGACAAAAAGTTAGTTCATAGGTTCTTTAACATTTTTCGGTTTACTCTTTTCATTCACGAGATATGAGGCTCTAACAGCGATTTTCGTAAAAATGTCGCGTATCAACAAGAATCTGGGACGAGCCTGGTGTGACGTAGCTTAAGGAACTTAATCACGACGGGCATTATACTTTTCTTTATATTTTGTATGTTTTCCAGCACTCATGGTTCACAATGTGACTCAGAATACGTATACAATTATATTCCTGGGTATATTATAGAGGATTAATCAAATTATACAAGTCACGAAATTGGAACTCTAAAAGCAGTTGATAGCGAAATTTTGGGCGATTATGATGCATATTGCCTTTATGCCGATGAACCGCTAGCGAGCCAAGAATGCTACGCGCGATATCTAAAACTATATGCGGAACACAAGGAACAAAACGAGATGCTACAATGAAGATTAGACTGCCTTGAAGATATTAAATCATGGTGAGCG